GAGATTTTTGTTAAGGGTGCAAAACAAAACAAAATGCCCCCCCCCCCCACCATTCGAAGCTATAGAATTACAATAACGAATCGAGAATTGAAAACAGAACTTTGTTGGATATCACTGAATAACTATTTTTTTACCTATTCGTTTTTATTTGAGTTGTTAAGGAGAAAACAAGAAAACATATGATGCTTTCGTGTGGGATTTACAAGTTTTTAGCAAAGGTATGATGATCTTGGTGGGTTCTTCACGCTTGACATTGTGCAATCGGTTCTTGCTTCCCTGTTTTAGAGAGAGAGACAGAGAGGAAGATGCAGGTAAGAGTTATTTACATGAAACCGTCTTGTTCCTCCACAACACATGCTTTTTCATCCTCATTTGGAACAAGTCTAGTCACTTAAATCTTCCTTTACTATTGCATCAGACAAACAAAGTAAATAATCTCAAACTCAGATTTCACCACATAGATCGCAAGAACAGATATATTGAGCCAGGACCAATAGTCTAGACCCTTAAGATGTCATAGTAAGTGTACATATAAGTTTGAGAAATACATGGTGAAAGGCGTACCTTGCATAGACTTCTCCAAGTCTTGTAATTGCTTGATGAAACCGGCATTAGGACTTGCCACGGGTCTTTTGCTCTTAACAAGTTGCAATGCTTGATCTAAGGTCATTCCGTGTTTCTTCATGAGGTAAGCAACAACTATAGTGACACTGCAAGTGCAAAAGGCAAAGCATTCAGGGAAAAGAGTTCCACAAAACTAAACAAGTTCTATTCCAAATTGGGTACCAAATCACTTGACAAATACTTATTGCGGAAATTGGGTACAAGGCACATAAAGAGCATCTAAGAAACAAAACGAAACAAAACTGACCTCCGTGATTTTCCAACGAAGCAGTGGACAAGAACACTACCGCCCTGTCTCTTAGCTTCATCAATAAAATCGACACACTCATCGAAGTATCTTTCCAAATTTGTGTCTTCCTTATCCACAACTATCACATACAAGCAAGCAGGCAAAGCCATTCCAATTCCAAAAGACACAAAACATTAAAACGTATTATGTTCAAGCAAATAGATAACAAAGTGACACTTTTCAAATGTCATACCTCGAACAACCTTGTAGACAAAGTCATCAGGGTGAGCTGGTCTCAACGAGCTAGCTACGGTTAAGATGTGTGTAACGTTGTAAGATTTCAATACATTCTTGTTGCCGGCTGCTGCAACGGATCCAAGATAGAGACCCTGAAAATGAATGAATCATTGGTTCCATAGAAACAAATACAAAAAACATTAATTATGGCTAAAAACAAGAAAACTGTTGAGTAATGACCTCTTCAATTTGGGAAGGGACATTGTCTTCTCTACAGGTACGAGCAACTTTGATAACACGAACAAGTGCTTGTATCTGATTCTTCACAGTTTCGTTATACTGATCAATTGCTGGTAAAGAAGAAGGCGATCCTCTATCTCTAGAACTCCTGAAAAAGAAATTGAATTCATCATCGTTACAGAAACCAAAGTCGAAACGAAAAAAATTGATTCCTCAATTCGATCGTAATGATAGAAATCGAATTCTAGGTCGCCGGAATTGGGTACGGAATTATCCAGAAATAATGAATTCAAAAGAATCGCATTTGCATGTATGAATCCAAAACGATTGCAACTATGGGTTACTAATCCGATTAATAACATCTAGAGATTGATTCAATTACTAGAAAATTTACGAATAAGGAAAGAAGATCTTACATGGAAGAAGACGGAAGAAATTCGCTAAACAAGAGAAGAGAAGTAGACAACAAATCGGAGAAGAAGAGAAAAATGGCGAATGAGAGATTACTAAAGAGGAAATCGAAACTGCATGGTTCTCCAGATTTTTTGGGAGAAGGAGAAGATGAATCCATCCAAGGGACTAAAAAGTAAATAAAAAAATTTCACGGGAAATATATTCAAATATTTATTTATATACCCAAGTCCTAGTATAGTAACAAAAGTGGAATACGACCCCATAAAAACAAAATTTTACAAACACGATGAAATTGAATTCCAAAGTGTTATGTAAACGCGATTTGATCAGATATTTGACAATAATTACTGTTTCAACAAATTGAGAATCCGATGAAATCTTTCTCCATGAATTTGCAATGTCAAACTCTTTCAAGAGAAATTGTACAATGAAATTAAAAAAAAAAGTAGAATCGGTTCAATATTCTAATTACAGATCCAAATCAAAGACCATCTTCACACCCAAGTCACCGAGACTACGGAATTCGCAAGCCCAGATTGTTCAAAAGTCGTATTAGATCCGTAGTGAAGAGTCTTGTACGATCCAGGAAACGCTTGAATCAGCTTGAATGGTTTCTTCTTCTTATTATTCTCTGATTGATCATCAATCTGTGAATAACAAAAGGACCAAAGAAGCTGAACAGATTCACTCTTGAGGAAATTTCTCTGTATTTTTCTACCGTCGGGTAATCGAACGCAGATTCGACACAAAACGCTTTTATCCGAATCGCGGTTTGGTTCTTCAGGTAACTGTGGGAATCCGAGAAACGCGTTTGAAAACAAACTACTAGTATCATCATCGGTCGTATCGGTCGCTGATTCATCAGAGAAGCGTTTTGAGCGTTTGATATCTATAAACGGCGAGAAATTCTCCAGTAACGATTGACATTCAAGCATCGTGAATATCCTTTTCGCCATTGATTTGAAAGAAAAACTATCTGTGATTCTCGGAGGGATTTAGAGAAGAAAAAACCCTAATTTTTAAG